AATTGGCTGCCCAAGTTTGACATTTTGGTTAGAATGGCGCATAGTCTCACAGTGAGACGTATTTTACTACTTCCATGTCTTAGCCTTTGTTGTTTCTTCATGCTGAACAATACAAGTAATATTAAGATCTGCCTGTGGTGAAGGTGGTTGTAATGTGGCTAAGGCAAACATGCTGCCTTCCAGAGTGGGACCCCCTCTACTATGGCCTGGCACAGCTCAGCAGTGCATGGTTTTACATGCAACTCTGAATGGCAGCTTCGTAACAGACAGTGCTGCTACTTGCTTCCATATCACCATAGTTGTTGCTATGAGTTAACGAGGTCAGGCAAAGTGGAAGTGTTTTGTGCCAAAAAGGTGCGGGATTGGAGTTACAGTACTAAGATATGAAGGGTTTTGTTGAGCCGGCTAAGGCTGCACAATGTCAAGAGTTCAGTCTCGGTATCTAATGGCAATGTAGCCTGTGTTGGAAACATTCCCTTCTCCCCGAGTCCCATCCACTGTCAACATTCACTGTGATACCTTAGGATTTATTACAGAGCTTTACATCCTTTTTTAAAGCATTACGTAAGTGGCATGAATATTCAGTGATTGGGAAGTGCAAGTGTTTTCTCCATTTTGTGAATGGAAAAACAGAGAGAGCGAGGGAGAGGGCATGGCTCCGGGTGACTCAAATGGCACAGCTAAGATTAGAACCAGGAGGTCTGTTTGACTCCTGCTGTTGAGCCAGGGTTACTTGCTCTTTGTGTTCACAATTTCCAGTTACTGAAAATATTAAAACAAGCAGCAGTGTGAGCAAGCCAAGGTTGGACGAACAGGTTACATATGAAAGTGACGATCAGACTGCAAACAATAACAGATACAACTTTAAATGCTATTTTGCATAGGTAGGGAATGATCTGGCCTCTGAGTGCATGGAAATAGTCGTAAGTTGCTTCAGTAAAGTTTAATTCCATCGGTTAAAAATAAATAAATAAATAATGCATATTGTAAATACTTCAGAGGTCAATGTTAATTTGCTCTGATTTGCTGCCACTGTAGAAGTTCAGAACATAGTAGGCAAATCTCGTGACTGGTTCATGATAGGTAAATACGTTTTCTCTCTAATTTTATCTCCTTTTCATAATATCAGTTTGAAGAAAAATGGTGGATCTTGTCGTGAATCAGAGCAGCCGCCGGCAGCCGCTT